TTATCATGGTATTTTAAAATGGAACATAAAACTGTACCTTCTTTATTTTGTCCTCTGTTGAAGGAAGATCGAACATTGGACCACAGCTTCCTCAGTTTTGGTTTCAGTATAGCTTGCACCTACACATCAGAAATTTATGGGATAGTTAGTGTGAGACTCTTGAATAATTAACAACTATTCACCGAAGTGGAGGTGGTTAGTGGTGGATATTTACCGAGCCGCGAAGCGGCGAGGTAAATATCCACCGCTAACCACCGACACTGAGGTGAATAGTTGTTTTAGTATATACTAAAACAGTGAGATAATATACACCACCAAAAATTGATTTTAATTCATACGATTCCAACATTTCAACATTTTCCCGCGCGTAACGATCCAACGCGGCTCGGATCGCGGTAAGTGATTTTTTGTTGTAAAAACTGCCGTCTCGTTTTTTCGCTGACAGATAAAATTTCTGAAGACATTTTGTTTAGCTCTGGTGGCGACATTTCTTCAAATGGTGTTGCAAACTCTTTCTGTATTTGAAACCATTCTGTAAAAAATACCATTCAACTTTGATTTTCAAGTAAACAAGTGAGGTTGTGCAAGATTAATTTGCATTTGTAAACAACACCTTCTTCATTGGTTTTTATCGATAAACTCCCGGTTACCATTACCTTTAAACACAGCCAATCCAAATTTAGTCGCTTTCTCTGTGTTTTCAGGGACTGCTTCGTTGTTATTTGAGTGATTTCTTCGCTTGTCACGGATGCAAACCGGCACGCCACTTTTTCTCGAGTTCCTTGGAGGTAAATAGCAAAGGATATTCGGAGTTTGACTAGCCAAAAATGCAAATGTTTGATCTCAGATGAAAAACATGTTTTATCTCAGATGAAAACCTGGTGGTGTTTCATCTGGTGTTTCATTGGGTATCAAGATTCATCCGCGTGACCCAAATGGAGGTTATTTATTGGCTTTTGACTGCATGAATAATTAATGAGTTTGAGAATTGTTTTTAAATCACAGTGGACAAATTTCGGTGGAAGTCATTGGTAAATGAGAAACAAAGGCAATGGACTGGAACAGGATTCCTACCACTTACACCTTTCACTACACGAAGTGGTCAAAAAGAAAGAAGTTAATAGAATTAATAAGAAACGATGAGGACAAGGCAATGATCTGTAGATGTTCCGATAAAGTTAGACAGTGTCGGCATTGATATCATAATGAGCTGTTAATTATGAAGTTCCTGCATTGTTGCAGAATTTGGGATTTTGATTGTTCTCGGTGGGTTTTGCATGCGTCTTTTGTCACATATTGGCATTTGTTCGTTAGACCGAGTATTTCTCTACGTGCAGGCTTCTGGATTGCGTTCGTTATAACGAGAATTTCCGCATTATATCGAGATTCGTTATATTAGAGGTTCTTTCTCGTACATTTTACTATAACTTTAGGCGGGCTGAGAAGTATCCTTTGTTCCACCGAGGACTTCGTTATATAGAGGTTCGTTAAATCGAGGTTCCACTGTAGTGTTGTTTGTGTCCGGTCTTGCAAATAAGTTGAAAACCAGTTGTTTAATATTCCACGAAATTTAAACCATAATAGTTAAGGTTGTCAAGTAAGATGACATGATTTACTGTATCTAAACCTTTCTTTCACTATACAAAGGCCACACGAAAATAGAAGTTTGTCCATATTGCTCTGAATGGTAAGACTTAAGGTCAATAACTGCATGTTGGGTTGAATGCTCATCGCAGAATCCGTATTGAGACCGATAAAAGAGTATGTCTTCTTCACTTATGAAAACTTTCATTCTTTTGTACATCAATTTCTCAAAAATTATATTAAAATTAGGCAGTACAGACATTGGCCTGTAATTGTTTGGTTCACTGTTTCATTATCTTCCTTAGATATGGGTGATTTCTCACATCTTAATTTTGGCTGGATATGTTCCAAGTGCTTTAAAAAAATTAAAGATTTCTGCTTCGACCTGACGTAAAACGTTACTTGCACACTTTAATATCCGAGTAGGGCAGGAGTAGAGGCCGTGTGACTCATTG